TTGAAGAGCTAAAGGAAATACTCAGGATCCAATCCCCTGATCCAAAGAGAAAGAAAGGAGTTCTCTTCTGCCGACCGATGGGTAAACGGAGACCTTTGAATGCTGAGATGGAGCTCTCTTGCGTCTCATTACATGGGAGGAAGCTCTCAGTCATTTCTTGTGGAGGATGAGGTAGAAGACTTTTCTTTTTGGAAGCTAGGGGAGATCTGTCCTTTCTTGCTATCTCTTCAACCTTCTTAAGACTAAACGGCGACCTGCCAAGAGGTGAAAAAGCTCCCTGCTAGAAGGATGCTCTCTTCTGTTGCCACGAATAACCTGGGGACTTTCTTCTTGTTTTGGAGCCTGACGTCTTTTCCTTTTGAAGGCTGAGGGACGACTAGATGTCTCTAGTTGAATATTGGGGGGAGCTCCACCCTTTCTTCTTGAGGGCATGTTCTCTTCCATCCTTAAATAGGCCATGGCAATGATCAGGATCCCTTCCCCTTGTCAAGACAGAAAGGAGGCCTCTTCTTGCTGACCGAGAGGTAAACGGAGCCCTTTTCTTTCTCGTGAAGTTGGAGGGGCTTGTTTGCGTTGTTGTGAGATGGCGCTTTCTTCTATCCCATTAGATTGGAGGAAGCTCTGAGTCTCTTCTTGTTGAGGATGAGGCAAAACTTTTCCTTTTGGAAGCTAATTCGGAGGATGAGGGTGAGGTAGAGGGCTGCTCATGTCGTGTTGAAGGCTGCGGGGAGGATCAGACTCCTTTTTTGAAGACTGAGAGAGCTCTGTCCTCACTTCTTGAGCTATCTTTCTTCTATCCCTTGAGGAGGAAGAGGGGGCTCTCTTCCATCTTCAATCAGGTACTGGCAATAATCAAGATCCCCTCCCCCTATCAAGAAAGAAAGGAGTCCTCTTCTTGCCGAACGAAAAGTAAACTGAGCCCTCTTCTTTCTCGTGAAGTGAGAGGGGCCTGTTATGGCGCTTTCTTCTATCCCATTAGATTGGAAGAAGCTCTCCATCTCTTCTTGTCGAGGATGAGGCAAAGGACTTTTCCTTTCGGAAGCTAATTCAGAGGATGAGGTTGAGGGCTGCTCATGTCGTGTTGAAGGCTGAGGGGAGGACAAGATTCCTGTTTTGAAGATTGAAAGAGCTCTGTCATCACTTTTTGAAAGCTATCTCTCTTCTATCCCTTGAGGGGGAAGAGGGGACGACAAGGAGCTCCTCTCTCGTATTGTCGACCAAGACGCAGCCGGAGTTTGTTTATTTCTCGTGAGGTTGGAAGGGCTCTCTGCTCCTTGGAGATGGTGCGGTAGAGGACTTGCCAGGGGATCTCTCTCTTCCTGACACAGAAAGGGAAAAGAAACTCATTTCTTGCCGATGACGAAGAAGCGGGCTCCCTTCACTTCTGTTCAGGGGAGATGGAGGCTTGCCAAGAGGTAGAGGAGTTCTTTGCTCGAAATCAGCTGAATGACTTGGTGGGACTCTCTCCGTGTTTTCGTTGAGGGTTGGGGGAATTCCACCCTTCCTCCTTACGTGTATGCCCATTTCCGTCTTGTGAAAAAGTACAGGGAATTTTCGGGATCTTTGTCCCTTGCCAAGAGAGAAAGGAGGTTTCTTCTTGCGCGTTTCCTTTTCCATCTTTTGAAGAGGTAAAGGAAATACTCAGGATCCAATCCCATGATCCAAAGAGAAAGAAAGGAGTTCTCTTCTGCCGACCGATGGGTAAACGGAGACCTTTGAATGCTGAGATGGAGCTCTCTTGCGTCTCATTACATGGGAGGAAGCTCTCAGTCATTTCTTGTGGAGGATGAGGTAGAAGACTTTTCTTTTTGGAAGCTAGGGGAGATCTGTCCTTTCTTGCTATCTCTTCAACCTTCTTAAGACTAAACGGCGACCTGCCAAGAGGTGAAAAAACTCCCTGCTAGAAGGATGCTCTCTTCTGTTGCCACGAATAACCTGGGGACTTTCTTCTTGTTTTGGAGCATGACGTCTTTTCCTTTTGAAGGCTGAGGGACGACTAGATGTCTCTAGTTGAATATTGGGGGGAGCTCCACCCTTTCTTCTTGAGGGCATGTTCTCTTCCATCCTTAAATAGGCCATGGCAATGATCAGGATCCCCTCCCCTTATCAAGACAGAAAGGAGGCCTCTTCTTGCTGACCGAGAGGTAAACGCTGCTCTCTTCTTTCTCGTGAAGTTGGAGGGGCCTGTTTGCTTTGTTGAGATGGCGCTTTCTTCTATCCCATTAGATTGGAGGAAGCTCTGAGTCTCTTCTTGTTGAGGAACAGGCAGAGGACTTTTCCTTTTGGAAGCCAACTCAGAGGATGAGGATGAGGTGGAGGGCTGCTCATGTCGTGTTGAAGGCTGAGGGGAGGATCAGACTCCTTTTTTGAAGATTGAAAGAGCTCTGTCCTCACTTCTTGAGCTATCTTTCTTTTATCCCTTGAGGAGGAAGAGGGGGCTCTCTTCCATCTTCAAAAAGGTAATGGCAATAATCAAGATCCCCTCCCCCTATCAAGAAAGAAAGGAGGCCTCTTCTTGCCGAACGAGAGGTAAACGGAGCCCTCTTCTTTCTCGTGAAGTTGGAGGGGCCTGTTTGCTTTGTTGAGATGGCGCTTTCTTCTATCCCATTAGATTGGAAGAAGCTCTCAGTCTCCTCTTGTTGAGGATGAGGCAAAGGACTTTTCCTTTCGGAAGCTAATTCAGAGGATGAGGTAGAGGGCTGCTCATGTCGTGTTGAAGGCTGAGGGGAGGACAAGATTCCTGTTTTGAAGAGTGAAAGAGCTCTGTCATCACTTTTTGAGAGCTATCTTTCTTCTGTCCCTTGAGGAGGAAAAGGGGACTACAAGGAGCTCCTCTCTCGTATTGTTGACCAAGACGCAGCCGGAGTTGTTTTATTTCTCGTGAAGTTGGAAGGGTTCTCTGCTCCTTGGAGATGGTGCGGTAGAGGACTTGCCAGGGGATCTCTCTCTTCCTGACACAGAAAGGGAAAAGAAACTCATTTCTTGCCGATGACGAAGAAGCGGGCTCCCTTCACTTCTCTTCACGGGAGATGGAAGCTTACCAAGAGGTAGAGGAGTTCTCTGCTCGAAATCAGCTGAATGACTTGGTGGGGCTCTCTCCGTGTTTTCGTTGAGGGTTGGGGGAATTCCACCCTTCCTCCTTAAGTGTATGACCCTTTCCGTCTTTTGAAAAGGTACAGGGAATCTTCGGGATCTCTGTCCCTTGCCAAGAGCTTTTCCATCTTTTGAAGAGGTAGAGGAAATACTCAGGATCCAATCCCTGATCGAGTTCATTTCTTGCCGACCGATGGGTAAACGGAGACCTTTGAAGTACGTCAGCTCATGTCAACCTGTGTTGACCATGGTCGCGAAGTTGCCATTTAGGGCCATTGAGCGCAATCGATAGCTTCGTGTGTGGAACAAGAGCCGTCAGTTTCAGATTGATATCGGAGTTGGTACGTCAGCTCATGTCAGCTTGTGTCGATAATGGTTGCGAATGTGATGTATATCTTCCGTGGCCCTTGAGCGTAATCGATAGCTTCGCAGTGTGTGTGGTAGAAGACCGCCAATTTCAGATTGGTAATGGAACGGGTATAATCGATAGCTTGGCCGTGCGCGAACGAAAACTGCCAACTCCAGATCAGCCTATACTGCGAGGTCTACGCCCTAGGTGCGAAGTTGACTTACGCATCGGCGGGACGTATATCCACATGTAAAGGATCCTGTGCTACCTGATTCGTCGCATGCATTCAGAATAGTTGATTGCTCTATACGTCCATGGGCACACAGGCCGTGTCTATGTGACCATTCTCCGTACATGTTACTTCTATACATAACCTAGAATACTCAGTTGAGACTTTGAAAAAGCACGAATCCAGCTGCTAAATAGACCCGGTTTAGGCTGGCCACCCCCCCCCCCCAAAGACGATGGGACCACTGGCACCAGGGGACACCCTGGAACAAGGCAAAGCCTGGGGCCTAAACCAATAAGACCCCCAAATGCTGGTAGTGCCCGGGTGCTGGTGGTGCCCCGTGTGCCGTGTTCTTGGCAATCCTCACGATTCATTCTACAAGCAGTCATGAGAGCAGCAGTGCATACGTTGAAGCAGTCAACGAGCGCATGCACCTGCTTTTGTCCACGAGTGGTCGAGGCCCCACGCTGGTATGGACGGATCATCTTGGGATAGACGGCGCACTGGATGCGAATATCCTGGACCATCGTTTCCAGGACGTGGCTGGAGGACCCTGCAATCTGCTTGGGAAGTGACGGGTTGACTCTTCGCCGAAAGAAAGCCAGCTACAGAATAATAACTCAATGGCATTAGCGCATGCGAAAGCTGGTACAGGTTGCGGTTTCGCAGCGATCATCGGTCTTGTTCTGAGCCCGGCGGCAGACAACATGTCCCAACCGACGTCAGCGGTGTGATGTAGTAGGTAGGGCTGATCACCATCCAGCTAGTAACACCCATGCTTTCATGGGTCGCCCCTCATCTGACACGACTGGGTGTCCCCAGATGCGACAAGAGATGTGCCTCCGTGACGATGTTTTTTGGCCCATGAGGGGTCTGAGTAACTCCTCTGCTTTGTAGATCTGGTAAGCTGCTGAGCTGCCGACTCGCTCTCGCTCAGGCTCACCCACGCTGTATGGGCATCTTTGGGAGAACCGTGAAGTTCACGAGGAGACAGTCAGAAGTACGATCTTAAGCGTGTGCTTTCATCGAGCTCATCGTGATGGACATCGGCAACGATGACTTCCCCGCTGCAATACCGGAAGCTAACGCTGCAGTCTGCTGAGTCTACAGTGTAGCGACAATGCGCTGCAATGCGGCGCGCTACACAAAGGAACGGCCCGGCCCTTCGCTTTCTTCTTCTCTCAACCACGCTAATATATAAAAAGGGGCTAAGAGTTAAGACCCCCGGGGCCGGCACCAGGCCTGCCCCCGTCGCCCGTCTCGGGCATTGAAATGAGGGCTCTTTCTCGGAACACCTAGCGGTAGATTATACATGTCTAGGGCAGCCGCCCCATCGAGCATGCGAAGCTCGGACTTGGCGATGACCTGGCAGAACCGCCCACCGCCTTACTTCAACGATTTCTCCGTATGCCTCCCTTTCTTTTCCTTGTGTGACACTCCCCGTCTCCCATTGTCTCCCCGTCTCTCGCCCCTCCGCCTCGTCCTCTGCGTCCTGAGAGAAACGCTCGGCTAAGCTGACAAGAGCGGCTGCGCACCGCGGCCGCGGTGCGCCGGTCGCTGTCGCCTCCTCCCCGGAGCGCTTGGGTCCGTTCGCTTCGCCTGAGCGGGGCCGCCGCGGCGAGACGCGGATGCAGAGACGCGGAGTCTTTGTGGATCTCTCTGGCCGCGGACCCATCACAGCACAGTTGCAGAAGTGGCCATTGCTTTCATGACTTTCCTGCATTGTGCACGCGACGAGCAGCCACGCCACGCCAGCCTCAAGGGAGTCGCGCGCTTTGCTGTTCTCGTCTTCGTCAGGGCCGTGGAGGACCAACCTCGAAATTCCAACAAGACAGGAGAGAGTTGGCCAAGAGGGGGGGAACCGAGAGAGAACCGAATTAACTAGAGAAGGGAAAGAGAGAGAGGAGCAGTACAGCGCAGGAGAATGAACCTACGGTACTAGTTCAGGTCGCTCTCGCGCCAGTGCAGTACAAAGAAATACTCATCTTCGTAAGCCAACAGCCACACAGACACAGACGTGTGGATACACACATCCCCACATGACCACATGTCACACACAGACAGACACACAGACACAGACAAACCTATCCTTGCCACTTCTGAGCCCCCGCGCATCGCCCGCAGCTCCGCCCGAGAGTACTTGGGGCCCCCAGGGCCACCATGGCCCCCTTCGCCACCCTCCTCCGAAGCCTCGCGAAGAGGGATGGGAACGCGCACGTGTACATGCATATACATATACATATACATATACATATACATATACATATACATATACATATACATATACATATACATATATATATATATGTATACAAACAATGAGTATATTATAATGGGCATTTATGGGCCTACTCAGGAGTCTTTACTGGGACCTGAGGCCCGGCGAGGGATGTGCGATGATGTAAGCGAAGCCGCCTCGTCTTTGAACATTTGGTCCAGGACATTGGCCTAAAGGATCCAAGGCAAACATTCACGATGCAGAGCATGAGTTAGCTCGAGCGGCAATTGGCCGGGCGACTGGGAAGAAAAGGACCTGGCCGGTTCCGGAAGTGTCAAACTCTCAAACGCTACACCGAAGCTCAAATCCGACACTGGCCTGTAAGACCTGAACCAAAGGCACCAGCGCAGATGCGATGGCAAACTGGTTCGGGCCGGTGAAGACCTGGCAGGTCTGAGCCTACGCAAAGTATCTGCTGCAGGGGCCAGGCTGAGGAGGCGGGCTGCCGAAGGCAGGATCTCACCGCAAATAAGGACGACCTGATCAAACATGTGAAAAGGGATCCCTCTTTTCGAAGCGACAACAGATGTTGCTCGTCTTTCTCGGCCACCGACGCTGACCGACAGCAAGACCGCCGCCCAGGAAGGCAGCAGCCTCGAGGCGCGGGCGGCGGTCCCACAACAAGCGGCAAATGCTTGCTCTTTAAAAGACCAACCTGTCCAAGAAGACCGGCAGAGCCTCCCAACAAACCCATGCAGTTTTTGGGCTGGGAGAGAAAGCAACGACCTCGTTGGCCACGGTGTTGAAGAGGAGCAACGTGACCAGGAGTAGGTGGTGCTCGCGGACCTGAGAAGCACGCGAAGGACGAAGGGACAAACACACTCAAAGGGTTTTCTTTGCTGGCAGAGCTCTCTCTCTCTCTCGCTCTCTCTGTATCTCGCTCTCGCTCTTTGTCTCTTTGTGTCTCTCTCTCTCTCTCTCTCTCTCTCTGTCTCTCTCTCTCTCTCTCTCTCTTTTTTCTCTTTCGTCAGGGCTAGGGTGTAGGGGTTTGACCCTTCTCTCTCTCTCTCTGTTAATGTTAAATGACATGAGCTCAAGAGCACCCCAACGAACATGAATGCTCTGATGCCGAATGGCAATGGCTCAAGATCGGACTGATCGGCCTGACGTCACAAAGGAATGTCTGCTTGAGTGTGACGTGTGAAAAGCGGAGGATACCATTTATCTCTTGGTCACAAAGCAGGGGGCAACCAATTGTGGATCGAAGTAATGCAACGCAACTGCAATCGCAGGGCAGCACGCAAGAGGTTCGATCGGAGCTTCAAGCCGTTGGTTTGACTACACAATGCAAACAGCAACACCTATGCTCCCTAGCGCAAGCGGACCTTTCCTAGACCTAGCATAAGCTGGTCTTGAGCAGTCAAGCTGCGATAGTGACGTGAACTGCTGGAGTGAACCAGCAGGTTGAGTGGAGGATGCAAGTGGAGCGATCAGGTCCCCTGCAAAACTCAACCCTGCCATAGCTCACACAAGGCGGAGATTCTACGCACAAGAACAAAGCAAACCAACGAAGTCTGTGCTACTTGGGCTTGGCACCTACAGCTATGGTACATGTGTTGTTAAAGTATCATGCTCAAGGCGTTCTGTGCTTGGGCCTAAGAGCAACAAGAAAGAAAGATTCTGCATGTACACATAGCAAAGGCTTGCAAACGAGGCATGCACTTCAGCACTCCTCCTTCGCAGCCCCGCCAGGGAGTTGCGACCTACTTGCTACTGCAGGTCCAACCCGTCAGGGCCACGACGCACCTACCCCTGAACTGCCTGCCAAAAGCTGGGCCAACTGCCCTCACTGTGAGAGGGCTCTCAAGGCACCTCGTGTGGGAAAAAGACACATCTAAGAGCTCACTGAGAGATCCAACCCGTTAGGCTGGAGTAATTCCTACCCTGTCTTGTGCTGGGTGTGGTCTGCAGCGCTGCCGTGGCACTGCTGGCACACTTGAAGCTCAACAAACCTGTGCGAGTGGGCGAGAGTGGAACAGATCTTAGTGCGGTGGAGTTTGGTCCCTTCGGGTGTTGCAAAGCAACGCGTTGGTGCTCCACCTGCCTGCTCACGCGTGCGAGTTGTTTGTGAGGGGCGGCGTCTGGGCGCTGCAGCAACAGACTGCGAGCTTGCTGCTTCCTGTTCAACACCTGGGCAATTGCTGGGGATGATTTCTCCTGCCTCATACTGCTCTCGCAAGTAGTTGGCGCGCACCCGTAGGTGGCGGGTTCGCCAAGACCTTTGGCCGGTGGCGATAGCAAGCGCAGACTGTGAGTCTACCTTTAGGATTTTGTCCTGGTGGACGACACCGAACTCACTGAACATCGCTTCCGCAGACTGCAGGGCGACAACCGCGTCGAGTCCTGCGACGAGCTCAGACTCGGCAGTGCTGAGTGTGACGGAGCGCCAGCAAATGGGGGAGCCATGCAGGAAGACTACCCACCCTGTGTGTGAGCGGTTGCCTGCTGTAAGCAACTAAACCTGTGTCATCCGCGTCAGTGGTGCGAGCAAAGCCCTTTGTTGACTGCACATATGCAAGCGCCTTCTCGGGGATGCGTGCAGCCCTTTCAGGAGCCTTCGTGCTCAACGTGGCGAGAACACAGGCAGTGAACGCAAGGTCCGGCCTGGTGCGCTGACGTAGCCACAGGATCTCTCCCGTCAGTCTTTGCGCTGTACGAGCGGACTCTTCGGTGGGAGTCTCGTCCGTCAGGAGAGTGTCAAAGGACACCAAGTCCCTTGGGCAAGGGATTTTACCAAGTGCGGTAGGCTTGACACTGTTAAGGCGTAGCAGCTCTTCTGCGTAAGCCTCTTGTGACAAAACAAACCCAGAACCCTGCACTCGGATCTCAACCCCTAAAAGCCTTAACGGGTGCTCTGCGGTGGCAAGTGCGAGAGGGGTCGTTTTCCAGATGCCCTGGATGGCCGTAGCCAAGGCTGCGATCACATCTTTACTGCCTGCAAGTCGACGTAGGTAAGCAACCCTCCTACGACAACCCCGTCGGAGGTGCGAACAACACGCCACCAGTTTGGGTCCAGCCTTCCTTGCTGGAGCTGCAGCTCAACTCCGTCCACGACACACTTCAACGCTCGAAGTTGGCAGTCCCTGAAGTCCGACCAAAGCTTACAGGCGAATCCCTCAACCCGTACACAGCGTGCGTGAGGATCCAAAGCTCCCCTTCCTTTGCCAAACCTAGAGGTGACATCTAAAGACCCGATGCACCATTTTCTCTTGGAGCTGATGATTACGAAACAACGGAGTGTCTCTGCAGCAGCACCTGAAGCGTAGACTTCGGAACCCGTGCCTGGGCCGTGGTTGCCACAAGCAACCAAGCGAGGCTTGCGTTTGTGGTAAGCTTGACCCTTCCCGGTAGCGAGGGCAGCGTCACCCTCAACAGGGTCTGGTGGCTTGACTGTAAACACAAACTTAGACGGAACCACCTTCACTTCCTTACGCCTTAGCCAACCTCCCGAACGAACCTCTGCAGGAGGCAGTCGCCGCACAGCCTTCTCAATGACACCGATCTCTTCGTGAATGGACGGCATCCACTTCTCGATGCATTGCTCTGCATGCCGAGGGTCTACAGTGTGGACTACCTGCAGTGGTTCTTGCAACCCGTCAAGCAACAGCTCCACATTGGTAGTGTAAACCGGCTCAGACTTGCGAAGGGCACACGCTTCACTCGCGTCCGCGTCGTCAGACCGGAGAGCGCACAGCTGCTCACCTGTCTGCGGGTCTGGAACCCACAGCTCCCACAGCACAGGTTGCTCCGGGAAGTAGTCTTCGCTTAGGCCGTCCTCCTCCTCAACCAGTGTCTCGGTGTCTGGTTGGCAAGCCAGCAGAGCGTGCTCAGACTGCGTTCGACTTTGGTCTGGTGAGTGCTTAAGGTTCCACGACACTTCCAGCTCTACAGTACCTGCTTCTACGGCTTGGGTTTCTTTCCAACCTCCGCCTTTGAGCGCAGTCCCAGATGCTAACTCAGAAGTCTTCCCGTCAGGGTGACGTGCCTTTGTCTCCTGAAGGGGCTCTTCTTCGAAGCAGTCGAACGCGTCTAGACGTCTCACGTCTTGCTGCTCGGTCAGCGGTAAACGTACCGACGCTGGGAGTGGAACGCCTAAAGCTTCAAGGCTTTGAAACTCGTGCTCAAGTTCATTGCCTAACGTGTTGACAGTGTAGGCGACGAGCACTGCTCTCTCACCCTTCCAGGGAGTGGTGGCGTCACGGCGAGTAGGGTCTAGGAAGAAGGGCTTGCCACGCTCCAACTTGTGAGTTGTCCCTAACCAGCGCTTGCCTTTGCCGTCTACCCTCTCCTCTACAGGGCCACTGACGTGGTCACCAGGCTTGAGTTCTATCCACAAATCCCCTCCGTTAGGCGGGAGCTTCAAAGGGAGGACTACATGTGTGTGGATCCTTGCAGGTTGTGGTGGTCGGCGTGCACGGGTTGAACAGTGGAGTTGGACAACCAAAGCGAGGTGTACTCAGCTGTGGGTGCAACTGCGGAAAGCACCATATTCATAAGCTCTGTCAGCCAAGGCTTGTCTGTGGTACCCCCTAGAACTCCTACAACACCACCGTGACGGTACAACCCAGCTTTGTGTTGTTGCTCGGGCGCTGCCCTGCACACTTCGGCTAACACCTACAACGCTTCATCAAGGTCCCGGTCGTCCTCGAGAAGCTCCTTTGCGAAACCTTCAAGGTCTTGCAAGCTCAAGCACGCTACACGGGCAGACTCCTCCTCAACCAGTGGCACAGGCCCTTCCGGGTGTGGAGCTTCTGCTGGCGGTGGCAAAGGTGGCGGCGGGTCGAATGCAAAAACGTTGTCAAGTCTTGCACCAGAGGACCGCTTGCCGCTAACCCTGCGTGGAGGTGGTGCGTGCTCCTCCTCAAGAGAGTCTCCTACAAACTGTAAAGGCGGTGGATCCGGAGAAACAAGGCACGTGCGAACATGGAGTGTTTGCACAAAGCCGTTGCCAACACCATCGCTGCGCAACACGATGCGACCATCATTCACAGATGGTGACAACCCCATATACTTACCTTCAACCCATCTATCCTCCAAATCACCCTTTCGCTTCACGGAACAATTCCCTCCAAAGTGGATGGCAAGCTTGGACTTCATGCCCAGCTGTTGCGCCCGTTGCTGAGACGCAGCTGTCATGATTGCACAAGGCCACAAGGACGAGTCAACCTCGCCAGAGGTGAGAAGTGTTCGCGCTCGTGCTTTGAGCCAACGCACGGTGTTCTCAGCAGAACCGTTTTGCTGCGGCATCCCCTCCTGTCGTTGTTGTGCGGACTCCACGCTCGTGAAACCAAGCTCGAGTCCTTTTGTTCAAGAACTCACGACTGCGGTCTGTGTGGAAACGAAGCACGGGTAGGTTTAGCGACCTTAGGGAAATGTACACCTGTTGGAGAGCATTTAGGATATCATCACCCGTGTTTGTGTGAAGTGGCACTGCAAACACCAGCCTCGCCATGTCAGGCGGTGTTTCACGCTCACACCTGGCTGACTCCCAGAGATGCTCCTCGGCAACTTTGGCTGCGAACTCTCTAGGCCCTTCAACTCCTTCATCTTCCGCCTCCTCCTCCTCCTTCTCCTCTGAACTTGGCTCGTACAGGGAGTCCTCGTAATCCTCACGCGGGTGGCCTTCTGCTACCGGAAAGGCCTCATCTGCAAGGTCATCCGTCCCTCCCGGGAGGAGTGCTGCATCATCAAACCCCTCGGTTTGGGTAGGGTCAGACTCCTCCTTCACTCCTTTGAGCCGTGGGAAACGGTACGACACGGCGAGGAAGTACTTGAACGTGGCTGGTCGGTGGTTGCGGCTTTCTGGGTCTTTGCCCTTCACACGGATGGGCCCCGCAATGTCGGCTGACATGCAATACACATCCGGGTGAACTACACCGTGGTGGCGGCGGCCGTTTCCGGCACCGTGCACGCAAACTGCACAATCACGGCGACACGGCACGTGTTTGTTCGCAACAGTCGCAACATGCTGTTCCCAATCCGCTTGGGTGAATTTCATGAGGCGGTAACATGGCCAACGTTGGAGTGCGTGCACGATGGCTTGCACAAACCCCGGCGCCCACACTGGAGACACACGGCTGTCGGCGCTACAACAGACCTGCGACACCTCACCCTGCAACGCTTGCAAGTCTCTAAGGTCGGGCAAGTTTGTGCCAACAGTTGTCCTTGACGGAAATGCACCTCAAACAAACCAGCCTCTTCAGCGTAAGTTTGCCACAGCGCGGTATTCCAAAACGACGGGGCGCTACCCACAGCAGAGAAAGGCTTGAAGCCATGTGGTGTTCAACCGACGGTTGCTCCAACATGAACGCCACCATGGATGTTCCATCCGATGGGTTTGGGCGCACACGCCTCCCGTCGGTGGAAAGTGCATGCAACCACAACATGCGAGCATACAAACCCGTATCACGATCAACGAGATCACGCTCGTCAGAGGTGAGAGTGCTCAGGCTAAACGGTTCAGTGGGCGAGCGGAGTGGATGTGGTCCATCGGCGCGGTGCCCTGTCATGGATCACGTGCGGGTTGGTGGACCGGTGGACCTCCAATGACCGCCGCAACTCGTCCCAACTTTGAAACCTTAGCAAGAAGCGTCCAAAGCGGATCATGGTAAAGATCGTGGCTCCTTGAGCGGCAAATGTCAAGCTCAACAACCTTTGTATCCTGCGACTCCAATCGTTTGAAAGCCTTGTGCGAGCCAGGGCCCGCAAACAAGTGGACAACCCAATTGGATGCTCGATGAAGCGCCTTCCTCTTTCATTTCGCCGGTTGAGGTTTGGCATGCCTTCTTCAAGAGCTTTCCACAAAGTCTTGGAGTCCACATCTTCCGATGGGAGTATGCCTGACACTGCGCGGTCGGGCACATCCTGGAAGAATGGAGCCGTGGATACTGCCCTGTGGCCCGCTGTTGGCGCTGACGAGCTCACATGCTCAACCAAATATAATCCCACCATGTGCGCTCCATTGAGATTTTAGCCTGTCTGATGCGATCCTTCCCCTCCTCCGTCCTTCGCCCGAGCTCCTCAACCTGTTGCATTTTGCGCTCTTCCAACCGTGATATCAATGTGAGGGCCTGGCTTTCAACCAATTCCGGACAGCCGTTTTTGACCCTAAGCCTCAGCGACTTACCATCGGGAGGATACAACTTGCAACTACCGGCGGACCAAACCAGCTTATACCCAAGTTGCTCTATGATAGCACCCATGGGAGCAATTGGCTGCACCAGGCCGTCCCTTCCGGGCGGCAGTTGGAGAGTGCCCGCGCGCGTCAAACGCATGATTGTGCTTTGGTCGCCGGCTAAACTCACTTGCAGTTCCTCTGCGGTCCTCCTCAGATGAGGCTTGTCGCATGGGGTGAGCGGCACCGGAGTCAAGAAGGGCGTAGCCAATGAGAGGTGGTTGGGATGCAACGGGTGATGGCTCCACAGCGGGTTCAACGGCAGGAGAAATCAAAATTTCCCGGTTTGGGCCAGGGGGCCCGAAACCGGGAAACAACTTGAGGGCATGACTGAGCGAATCCTGAGCCTCTTCACCGAAGGAGTTGGTGCGGAGGACTGTTGTGATGCAGTACTCCACTTAGGGCCATTTCTACACCCCTTCCGGGAGAGAAAGAACTTACACGGCTTGGCACCTGCTCCTCCCGAGCCTTTCCCCTGCCCCTGAGGTTGGTTTCCCCGACCTGGTGCATCTGTGGTTGCATTCAACGCTTGGGCTTTGGGATTGGTGACTACGCGCTTTGAATCCAGTGCCCCAGCCATGGTTCCAAACTCACCCAACAAATGCTTGTGGCAGTCTACAAACCTGATCTGCCGATGGGTGCAGGTCAATGTGCAGTGCACTACGCACGACTTGAGTGCGGAACTGCACATCTGGGTGTTTGGCTATGGCCAGAATGGACGGATCAGGGGCTACCATCCCGCACTCCAAACAACGACGATGCCAACGACCCCACGACCTCAACAAGTTTACTCCTGCAACCACTTCCGTAAACTGCGGTGGATCATGCAAGTTCCTGAGTATGAGGTCGCGCTCATTGGTTCCACCTGGCTGGCAAATCGTATGGAGGCGGAACATGATGTGTGCTGCATTTTGAGTTGCCCTGTGTGCTACGATGTCGGATTTCACAGACGCATCGCGTGCTTCCAACAGCATGGCACACGCCCTAGCGTTTACCCTTGACCACTTGCCCTCAACAACCTCCGCCCTATCATCAGGAGCCACCCTCAAACGCTCCACGGGGGACGAAACACTCCAACGGGCAAATGCATCACGCGCCAACTGCAAAAAGCTGAAAGCTGTCCGAAAGATCAACCATCAAGCCGCGCACCAACTCAAGCCAGTCTTGAAACTCCAAGGAGCCACCCGAAGGATTAGGCGCAACGAGTTTTGGCAAGGTGGTGATCCCTGGTTTGACCGTTTCGGGCACATCATCGCCTTTAACCTTGAGCTGTTGAGCCTGTAGGTTTTGCAGCTGTTGCACCCCCAAAACCAGAGCATCCAACACTGAACTTGGGGCTTGTGGTGTTGTGTCCTGCCCTCCTGGAGTCGATGCAACCTGAGCGCCTACAGCTTGAGAATATGGCAGGCGGCGGTGGCGGCGGTGGTGGCTGCCCTACATTGGTGGTAAAACCATCTAAAATCTAAGCTCGGAGCCCTCAACTGCCCCAAACCCAGGATTTCGGGCTGAGAATGGGGGTTTGTGCCAGAAGAGGCCCGCTCAGGCTCTGACACAGACCCACCCGTTCCGGGTGGTGTAGCACTGCCCGACAGCCCGACCACAAGTTGGACCAAAACCCTGATGTGGATGTTGGTGCTCTCAGGGCCTCAAGGACCTGAGCAGCCAAAGTTGGGATGACAGGATTCGCACTTGGAGGCGCAGCGCTGGCGAAAGGTCGAGGAGGGATTGGCGGGTGCCCACTAGGGGTCTGCGTTTGGGTGCTCCTGGCAAGTGCTGCTCCCCTAATGGCTCGCTCCCTGTGCTCATTCGCCTCCGCTAGTTGCTGCTTTAACCTCTCATTTTCGGATTCCTGTGCCTGCGCTCTGGCCTCAAACCCCGCAAGCTGCCTGGCGACCTCTGCTTGAATAGCCTCCTGGGGTATTGACGACGTCTCCGTACGGCTAGGGGGCCGCTCAGGGGCTGCAAATCTAGGGTAGATGATGGGAGCCCGCTGCTCAAGAGCTTGCATGCGCTGCAGCGTTTCCGCATTAAGTAGCGGTTCCCTTCCGGGACCCGGGGCAAAGGTAGTGGGTGTGCCGAGTGATCCCGGCTGCGGCGGCGAACTACTTGACCCCACACTCCCATCTGCCAAGGCCCTCACCCTAGATGTTGCACCAGGGCTTGCGTGAACATGTACATGACGTGGCGGTGTCTGGGCCTGCACCTCAGTCCTTGCCACACGGAACAACTCGGAAACACGAGACATAAAAACACCAGGGATACCCTCAACCATCTCGGTGATGGTGGTCAAACCCTGTTGCGAACGTGGGGTGACAAACCCCTCAACTCCAGGAGCTTCCCCGGTTGACCTTATGCCCCCCAAACCACCATCACCACTTTGGTCTGGTCCTCACTCAAAGTGTCCTGTCGGGGCTCAGTGTTGGCCTGTGGTCTTGGGCTTCCGCCCGGAGCTGCAAAGGCAAGTGGCATGCTTCGGGGCATACCCTGCTCAATCCCACCCTCAGCGGTGGTCGACACATGTTGCAAACCTTCTGCTGGGTCTGTGCTAACACGGGCCCTTCCCGCAGCCGAATCAACCACAAAACCCAAACCACCCTCTGTGCCGGCGGTGGGTGCATCAGGTGTTGTGGACGTCGCATGCCCTGTGGTGCCATAGCCCTGCGTTGGGCTAATAACCTGCTGGAGTGAACCAGCAGGTTAGTGGTTCACCCGGAGAACTCGTGGTAGATTGTCTTCGTTAGCGGCGAACCGGGACACCCTCAGCACCTCACCACTGACGTTTGGCTGCTCACGCGTCGTAGTGACACGGCGCACCTTCGGTGCGCTGGGCGGGAGCCTCTCGCTGGGAGGAGGAGGAGGAGTCTGCTCACCTCCCCGCCTCTCGGTCGAGGCTGGTTGCCCGCCCTTCGCGAGCGCCTGGAGTCTTCGTCGATCGCATCTGGCTGATCGTGGGCACGAAGGCTGAGCCACCTGATCGACTTTTTGGGCTGAACGAATCGGAGTCAGTGGTTGAAGGCCGTCCGGAATGACAATGACATCGAGCTACTCAAGCAAGCCTCAAACACATCTTAAGGAGTCGTCATGTACGCCGGGTCAAACTTCGCAGCATCGGGAATCTTGTCCTTCATCCCTCCGACCAGGTTGAAGAACGAGTCTTCCAGGAAACCACCCAAACGAGTATAATTTCTCCTGAGGCTCATGCCATACAGTTTACGAGTTTACGATAAGCTGAAAGGAGAGATCTATGCTCTCTCAGCATTCCAAGGCTCAATGTGAAGTCCGAAAAATCAGAAAGCTGTTTTCCTGCAAAGCTGTATGCCCCCACTGAACCTTGCTCATTGCTGTACCCCGTTGGCTGAGGAAGCGAGATGCATTCGACTTTTCAGTTGCAAAGAAAAACACTCCTAGGTTGTTCTTTGACGCAGGTTCTTGGCATCAAGGAACGTGGCGCTTGGACCGTCCCGATGTATGGAACAACTGCACAGCACATCGTCAAATAGCCTGAAAGTATCATGTGCGAGTTATTTTCATGATAGTTCACGTCCCTCTCATAGGCAAGCTCATCCTATGGCGTACACTCGCGAAAAGGGGTGCAAGATAGTTAGAACAAAGTATGGGTAAAACAAGCTTGTTCTCGAGCTTGCTTGGTAGGGGTGTTTGCTCTTGTACCTAGGATG